ATAAAACCTTTTTCCAGTCCCCCCAAAAAAGAGTTAAAGTAGAAAGTATTGGGATAGTGAAATATACTCTTCCCAATATTTAGAGCCAGCATGGGGCACTGCAGATGCCACACGCCGGCTCTATACCTAGAGCTTATCATGTAACTGCTGATCACTCAGCTCACGTTCTCCTCCCTGCAGGGAGCAATGACTGTTAGTCACTGCTCCCTGCAGGGATTGCCCCCTCCGCTCTCTGTTCCTCTAGTGCTCACTGGAGGGACACATGGGAGATGGCGGGCATAACTGGCTTTGGTTATAGCAAGGCAGAGGCAGCTGTCAATCAGGCAACTGGCTGGATCCTGACAATATTATCAGGATCCTTAACCGCTGCAGTGCAGCTCTGTACTGTCAGCATATAACAGTCAGTAGCCCGCTATATGCTGACTTTGGGTCCCGGAAGTATATTAGTAAATATACTCCTGGAGCCCAAAAGAGAAGTAAAGACAAAAAAAAGGGTTGGTCTCTGCTTCTCTTAAAATGTCTGTCCGGGTTTTGTTTTGCCTGTGACCCCATTGAGTAGATTTTCCTTTACTTCTATTCTTGTGATGCCCATACAAGAACGAAGAGATGTTATCACCGGAAAGCAAGATGAAGACTTCAAAAAATATTTTCAGACCCTTCCTGAAAAGCGCTAAAAACATTTTCCATCCCTTCTGCTTCTGACACATAATGGAAGAAAGTGTCTTCAAATGGGGCCCAAGTGGAAATAAAAATCTGACCAGAGGCTTTTACCCTTACCCGCTGTATCCAAAACTAAATAGGTTTTGACTGGAGTTGGGATTTACTAGTGTAAAGGTGCCCATACACCTGCCGATTTATCGTACAATAATCGCGGGTAATCCCGCAATCGTACGATAATCGGCAAGTGTATGGAAGGCGTGCAATCTTTTGCCTTCCGAGCACGCTTGAAAACGTGCCGAAAATCGTAAGATTTTCGGCGGGTTAGTGGCGTGCTCGGAAGACAAATGCCGAACGGGCCGGTGTGCGCAAGCTCAACATTGGAATCATCGGAAGCCCGCCCCTAAGCGGGGAGGGATCGCAAGTACGATCTGCCTGTCAAAGATGTGCACATCGTACAAGATTTTAATTACTTTACAACCATCGCACAACGAAAGTTGTGCGATGGTTGTAAGGTGTATGGCCAGCTTTACAGTTGTTGTTCTGTACTTCTCTTAGGGTGCTCATACACCTTACGACCATCGCAAGACTTTTGTCTTGCGATGGTCGTATGCTTATTGAAAGCTCGTACGATCTGCCCACCTTGGACGGGCAGATCGTACTTGCGATCATCGAAAGGGCTTCTGATGACCGCAATGCAGAACGGGCAGTGTGCGTGTGTGCACACCGGCCCGTTCCGCAGCTATCGGACGAGCAGGCTAGAAACCCGCCGACAATCGTACGATTCTCGGCGAGTTTTCGAGCATGTTGGTTCGACAAAAGACGTGCGACCGTACAGTAGAAACGGTCGCACGTCTTAGTTCACACTGCTCGATTCTCGTACGATCGCGGGATTTCGCCCGATTCTCGTACGAGAATCGAGCAGTGTATGGGCACCTTTAATGCCGGTGTATCAGTCTGCTGAGACTAATGTATATCAGGTGTATCAGTCTGATGAGACTAATAAAAAACAAAACAAACAGACTATGTGGCTATAATTGATCTTATTGCGATCAGCAAAGGTGCTGCCTGTACTGTTTGATATACAGATAGCCACTAAAGGAAGAATCTACAAATCTTTGTATAAAACAGATTCATGATACCACGGGACAGCAAGAAGGAAAACGGAAAAGCCACATCAAGAAATATCCTGAATAATTTAGTAAATCATAATGTGCTGCCTGTGAAAATACATAAAAAATAGAAATAAAGTGGCATTACACAGAGCTCTGTTCACTCTCCCGACAACTAAAACTGTTTTGGCCGGAGTTCTGCTTTAATACACTAGGGACTTGGTTGTTTTCCTGTATAAGCCTTTAGTAGGTATTTTGTTTCTGAATTTAAAGTTTTTCTGCTAAGCAATATTAAAAGCCTGACTGGAACTGAATCTGCAAAGTGTTGCGTGCTATTGTCCATATTCTGTATAATGACATTTCACAGTAAATATTTAATTCTGCTTTATCTGTTTACAGGTGAAAAGCCACATCGCTGCCACCTGTGTCCCTTTGCGTCTGCCTATGAGCGCCATCTAGAGGCTCACATGCGCTCTCACACTGGGGAAAAGCCTTACAAGTGCGAGTTGTGTTCTTTCCGCTGCAGTGATCGCAGCAACCTGTCCCACCACCGGCGCCGCAAGCACAAGATGCTCCCAATCAAAGGCACACGTCCATCTCTCGGCAACAAGAAAATGTGGGGGGTCCTTCAGAAGAAAGTCAGCAGCCTGGGGTACAGTCGCAGAATGCTTATCAACCTGAGTCCACCATCCATGGTGGTGCACAAGCCTGACTATTTGAGTGACTTCTCTCATGAGATCCCCAGCATCCACAGTGAAGCTTATGAGGCTTTAGCTAAGACTTCTCATAGGGACCCACAGGAACTCATGGTGGACAACCCTTTAAATCAGCTGTCTACGTTGGCTGGACAGCTTTCCAGCTTACCGCCGGACACTCAGACCCCCGCCTCTCCCGATCCAGGCCCTTGCCCAGACGAGAAACCTTTTATGATCCAGCAGCCCCCACCACCAGCCTGCGCTTCTGCCGTCTCCACCAGTGTTCCTCGGAGCTCCTCACCAGCCAGCCCCGAGGCCCGGGCCACCCACAATCACAGGAACTGTAGTCCCATGGCCGGGCCAAGCAGCGAGCGTAGCGGGCGAACCAGCACCCCTAGCATCAGCAACAGCCAGCCTAGTACACCTGCCCCTGCTCTCCCGGTCCAGGACCCTCAACTTCTCCATCACTGCCAGCACTGTGACATGTACTTTGCAGACAATATACTATACACAATCCACATGGGTTGCCACGGTTTTGAAAATCCTTTCCAATGCAACATATGTGGCTGCAAGTGCAAAAACAAGTATGACTTTGCTTGTCACTTTGCCCGAGGCCAGCACAGCCAAAACTGACTCCTAGTGGCCTTTTTTTTTTACCCCCTGACTATTATTTTAATCTGCTCCTCTGGGGACGGTCTGTTTCTACAGTGCCTGTTATTTGAGGAAAATACGAATAGGATGTAAATATATGTGTGTGTGTTTTATGTCTTTTGTGATGACATAATTTGATTTTTGTCAGGAAGGCCAAGATTCTAACATCGCAGTATTGAGAGGAACTAGAATGAAATAGTTCAAAAGGTGCAAGTGAAGATTGCTGTAAGCAGACAGCACCTATAAAAATTGACTTTAACCCTGGGCGGGCATGGTATTTGTGCACTGGATAAGGCACCTAATGTTTAGATGCCTTCCAGTTGTCTGTTGTCCCAAGCCACGTAGCATAGAGAGCATCAGAAGCCACAACATCCACTCATTTTAATTGTGAACATCATAACTGTATTCTATGGAGGAATATTGATCGTTCTTGCTGGAAGTGTTCATGAATGTTGTATAACGGAGCACCATGCTCCCATTTTAATAGTTCGTCATAGGGATAATACTTTTACATTTAATAGTGGTTTCTTCCCCTTCTGATGCAAGGGGGCTTGAAGGAAATAATGTATGTTTAATTATGGCAACTTTCAGCTGAAATAAGTGTTTTTGTTTTTTTGTTAATTAATTTATCCTCACGAGTTGCTAAGTATGTTTGTACAGGTATATTCACAGTGTGTTATGTGTTTTTCCAAAGACTGAGACCTCTCCGTAAACCATCCCGTTTAATAAATGTATTGTCTACCGTCACCTCTTGGTCTGGGGTACTGATCGCTATCTTGGTTTGTTCCTTTAATATCTGGTTGATTGTGTTTTTCAAGGGGAACGCTAAGCTATAGAACATAGTGGAACTATATTGTGGTGCAGAGAGGTTCTGGTGCAGGACTGGGAGCACTGGTGTCTAATAAGGTAAGTGTGGCAAGGATTAAAGTGACATTATACCTTTTTGGTTTTTATTTAAAGTTTTTGTTTTTATGGCTTACTTTGGCACTTTTTTTAAAAATTATTTACATTTTTTAACTTCCTCGTTCTCTAGTTTTATCCATACCGCTAGTCCCACACCCCGTGTTGGGGTGTCTCCATCGCCTAGCCAGTTGCTGTGGAAGCACCCGAGCATGCACGCTCATGGCCTTGCACGCACCTACCTGTATGGACACACACCGCATGCGGCAGGCCACTCCCCCGCTCTTGCAGTCACGGTTTGATTGACGGCAGAAGGAGCCTATGGCTCCTCTACCCTGAGTACCCGCAACCAGGAATTTTGGGGAATGCAGAGTATCTTCCTGGTCATGGCAGTGGATATATAGCGGCCACAGGTAAGGGGTGGTGGTTTTAGAAAAGTACTGGGTGTTTTGTAGCTTAATGCAGAGAATGCTTTGAGATAAACACTGAGCCTTTAGTACTACTTTAATTGGTGTTGGGGATCAGGGGTAACATTACAAAGGTTCTGCAGCCAACCTTTGTTTCAGATAAAGTGAGGAAGGTTGTCATGTTTACACTGCTGTTGGTAAGAATTCTCTTTACTTCCTGTCACAGAGAAATGACAGGAAGTGATGCCAAACGTCCGCAAAATGATTTGAGAAGTTGAGCAATATATAGTTCCAGTATAACTCTTAGTACAATGTATGTGTAGCTGAAACTTTTTGTTTTGGGTAGCGTGTAGAAGGGTTAGGCCCCATGCCTTTATTGCCATCTGTGTCCCACTGCAGTGATCTATCCTATCTAGATCTCCTGTTGGCTATTGGTCCCAAAACATAAAATAAAGGAACTATAACATTTTACAGTTAATACCAGGACAGACGGTAAAGGAACAGCCGTGTAAACCAGTCAGGGCACAGGGTGACCTCATCAGTATGTCCCGATCCTTCATAGTCTAATTAGAAGCCAGAGGCAGAAAGGTGATTAAGGAAATGGATCTTTAGCAGCCATTTGTTTTCCAAAAATTGCCCATCAATAGTGAATACCATTACTTTGGTAAAGACAAAAGGGGAAGGATGCTGAACTGTGCACATGTAAGACACGTGCAGCTAAAACTGTAAGGTGGGGTACACATGTGGGGAATTACTATGTATTCCCCATAAATCCCAAGGAAATAAAAATCCACATAGCCACATTTGCTTGCAAATTAAAGCCCTATCTGTCCCGAAAAAAACCAATGTATAATATGTTGGGATAGACTAGGGAGTATTAAAGATATAACACGTAAACCCGAGACATCGCTGAAACCTTTAAAAAAACAAAAACAGTCTGAGATTCCAGAGACTAAGGTTGGCCATACACCTATAGATTATCTGCAGATTTTCTATGGTCAGATGGAAAAAGTGCAACAGATTCCTCCATCTACGCTACACTGTGTGGATGGAGGAATCTCCCTCTGTCCAAGCTTCAGTATCTTGCTAGTCGGCCTCGCTGGCTCTCAAAACACCTGAACAATCTGATTGGATGCAGGCATTGTTCAGGTGTTTTGAAAGCCAGCGGGGCCGACTAGCAAGATACTGAAGCTTGGCCCAGCGGGAGATTCCTCCATCCACACAGATGGAGGAATCTGGCCAGCTTTAGGGAGAAAAAGCCTGGGGTCCATATCTTAGATTTTTTTTTTTATCTCTGAGAAAATTCAGTTAAACATATGTATATCTAAAAGATAATGAAGTCATACAAGCAGTAGTAGGTATCTAGATATTTACTAGGAGATAGCAGGAGAGTTTTGGCAATCCAGCCTTGGATCCTGAGACTGGCACAAGTACGGCTGCAATATCCGCTCTTTTTCTTCGGTAAAATAAGCTTGCACATTGAAATCTCTGTCTGCTTTGGCAGGTAGGACAGTCTGTACAGTGATATGCTCCCTTAATTGTTCCAGAGCTTTAGACTTTACACACTGGAGCTCCTGAGCAATTCTTTTTATATCCTTGCTAGCAACTGTCCCTGAAATACAAAAAAAAAAAAAATTCAAGTGCAGTTTCCAGGACAATTCTCCTGATTCATTAGCTACTGCAACACAGACCTGGAGTAAGCATGTGTATATCAAGTGTCCTAACTTTGGACACTTATACTTCACTGAGTGATAACAGAAGAATAAAATGGCAGCCCTGAACTTTGCACCTTCGAATACAAGTCAGCAGCTCCAATAGTCTAATTCTTGTCCCTTTTTAAAAAGAGAACTATGAGGTAACCTTTTTATCCCATAGTTCTCTTTTTCGGTCACGGGAGGACATATGCTAACCTCCTTCCGTGACCCAAAGCTCAGTATATAGCGAGGTACAGCTTGATATATACTGAGAGCGCTGCAGCCGGGACAGATCCTGACAATGATGTTGGGATCCACCCAGCTGCGTGAATGACAGCGGCCTCTGCCTATCTAGAGGCAGAGCCAGCTGTACCCGCCCCCTCCCCCGTCTGTTCTTCTGGTCAGCGCTGGAGGATTGGAGCGGGGAGGGGATCCCTGCTGGCAGCGGTGATTAACCGTCACCGCTCTCTGCAGAGAGATGATCGGAAAGTGAGCGAGTGACGGTATGTGTTCGCTCACTTCCCGATCTATAGAGCCGAAGTGTGACAGTTTTATTGTCACAGGTCGGCTCAAACTATGAGGTTGAGTGAAAATCACTCGCCTCATAGTTCTCCTTTAAAAAGTTTGTCAGCGGGCTTTTGTTTACATCAGAACTGCATCCCTCCCCATACAAGTAAATCAAAATGCAAAAGAAGCTTGGCTGATGTAGCTTAGAAGGTCAAATGATCTTAGAAGCCTCTCAAATAAAAGCTGAATGCATCTGAAAGCAAGTTGCATTCGCCCATCATCATACCTTTGGTGCAGTTACACCTGATAGTGTGCTGCATACGGTTCCCCCTGCAAGTCTTAAAGCAGGACTCTGGGTAAATATTTTATTACCCCTTGCAGTGGAGCTACCCCTGCACTGCAAGGATTAAGTGCTTGTTTTTGCCTAGGGTCAAAAATAAAGTTACGCTGAGCGGATCCTCTGAGCCGGCTTGCTTTTAGAGCAGTCCCTGGAGCTTCTCTCCACCTCCTCTGCAGTCGCCTAAGATCCCAGAGTCATCAAGTTTGATACACAGTGTATAGGACGTGAGGATGCCGAGGGACATGCTTGCAGTGCTGGGGTAGTCCCACTGCAAGGGTTAATACAATCTTTACCCAGAGTTCTTCTTTAAGCTGGCCATACACCAGTAAAACTTTGGAAAAAATCGTTTTGTGGAACACTTGTTCAATTCTTTAATAGTTGATGTGGTCAAATCGATCAATTCCAACCGTAGTAATGTAAACAAAAATATTAACGGAACAGTATGGAAAATTTTTCAAGGACAGTAAAAATTCTAAAACCGGGTTTCCCCGAAAATAAGGCACTGTCTTATATTTTCCCCCCCCCAAAAAAAAAAAACACACTAGGTCTTATTTTCGGGGGATGTCTTATTTTTCCCACCCATTGAGCATCCCCTCCACATACTTTTTTTCTACCATAATTTAAATACTAGAGATAAAATATGCTGTGGAGGCTGAGGCACACAGGTGTCACGCAGAGCAGAGATATGGAATGTACTGTATCATACAGCACCTGAAGGCTGCAGCTGTCCCAGAGCTCTCCTCTCTGATGCCGTCCAGGGAGCCACCTCGTCACACGGACCAGTCAGAAGTTCCCTCACTCCGACCCCATTGGCCATGCCGTGCTGTGCCGCTGCCTGCTGGGAAATGTCCTTTTCAGCGGCAGCTTTCTATGTGCCGAAAAAGACGAACTAGGTCTTATTTTTGGGGTAGGTCTTATTACGGAAATCTCTGAAGATAGCGCTAGGTCTTACTTTCGGGGAAACACGGAAGTAAATGTGGTTTTCTTTCGAGAAACTCCACTTCAAAATTGTGAACGCCATTAGTGAAGTCTCTGATGACATTATCGAATGTTCTGTTGAGGTTTTCCGTATGAACGTTTGCATGAAAATCTGCCAGCATATGCCCAGCTTTACCCTTAGGCTACGTTTACACCATGTCTGGACCAGATCTGCAAATGCAGTGCATTTTTGCCGCTATTTTACTGCGTTCCGGTGCAGGTTTTTTTTTTCCTTTTCATTAAAATGGGCTTTCAGGTGCAGTCCAGTGCATTTGCCTGCGTTTTTGATGCATTCCAGACCAAAGAAAATGTGACTAGCAGTATTTTTTTTTTTGTGTGGACCAGAACGAATTGCGCGCTGGTGTTAACAGAGCCCCAAAATACCATAAGGATACATTGGGATGCTTTTTTGGTCTGGACATGGTCCAAACATAGTGTGAACAAGCCCTAACTCTTCCATTATCTGGCAAGATATGGCCCATGAAGCCATCAAGTCATTTGTCAAAATTGGCTGGGCTGGCACATGCGCAGTAATTTTCCAGTGAATCCTATGGATAGTTACTGCACATGCAAGGGCCTGGCTCAGAAGACTTCAACAAGCAGTAACTTTGCAGGCAACGTATCACTGGGTCAAAGATAGGTTAGTTTAAGACTTCAAAAACCAAACGTCTGGTAGGCTCCTTATTTGCGTGTCCATGTTACTGCATAACAAGGACACATCCTATTGGCTATCCAGTGGATCCTCTCAGGATGCAGAAGCGAAATGACGTTAGCAGAGCCCGCAGTCTCCAGTGCATTTGTAGCACTGGATTAGAGCCCACCCCACACCTAGAAACGGTGGCAGCAAGGGACCTGGATGGGGACTTAGTTAAGTATCTTGCTGCAACAGGTAAGCTTGCAGAATGGGATAGATGGGGGTGGGAGTTCATATTTTGCCTGGAATTGGCCTTTAAACGCCACTTCAAAGCCAGGCCTAGTATTTCTGATAAACCAATTTAGCTCAAAAGTTTTCAGCTAGTCGGTAACATTTCTCATTTTATCTCTCAGTTGCTCATATATCTGATACTGCTTACAGCTGCCAAATCTTAGCTGCTGTGAGGTCAATAAAACATTTTGAGGCCTATTCACTAAAGCGTGAAGAGTTTGGAGAAGGCAGGAGAAGTGAACAATCTAGGATAACAGCTGATTAGGAAACATTCTCCAATTCAGCTCACTTTCCAGTGCAGCTATGTTGTCCTAGATTGTTCACTTCTCCTGCCTTCTGCAAACTTCAACTTTTAGTGAATAGACCTGTTTAAGATAAAGAAGATCGGATCCATGGCAGCTGCTTGTGTAAAGAATTCACTCATGATGAAAAGAATGCAAACTAGGACTGGCTGCTGGGTGGCCATTGTACCTCCGTTACCTTTCACTGTCTGCATAGTTTCTGCGATGAGCCTTCGTAGACTTTGATCTGCCTGATGAATAAGATTGGCCGCACAGATTTCACGATCCCGTTCCTGGTAAAGAATGGCAAACATCTGAGTAAATTAAGGTACAACATTCGGAGCGGAAGAACATATATAAACATGACGGCTCAGTCACACTAGATGCAGTTAGAAATACATGCGGTGTTGATTGCAATTTAACACGCTGCCATGTGTTTTTAGATCCGTTGTAATAGAGAGAGGGCTTTGTTTAATGACATTATTAGTATACAGGATTTATATAGCGCCAATAGTTTGCACAGCGCTTTACAATATAAGGAAGACATTATAATCACAATACAATTCAAGAGAAGATGGTAAGGAGGGCCCAGCCCCTGAGGGCTTACAATCTAAAAGATAGAAAACTGCAGCATTTAGAAGCTTTTTAAAACTGCCAGCAACTCATCACTCGAATAAGAACTCACTCCCATAACTGGATTTGCACACAATCATACAGTTTGCTTGGTTTACAAAATGCAGCAATCTGCCCTGAATCGTATGTGGTATGAATAAGCTCCGACTATAACCAGCCTGCTACTTACAGCCATGGCCACAGTGAAGGGCAATGAAGACAGCAACTTGAACATCAGTCTACCTGTTCCTCGTCCTATCAGGGTACAAAAAAAATAAAATTCTATAGGTGCCCATACACTGCTCGATTATCGTACGATAATCGTATGCGATCGGTTTTTCGTACGATAATCGAGCAGTGTGAACGGAGACGTGCGACCGTTTCTACTGTACGGTCGCACGTCTTCTGTCGAACCAGCATGTTCGAAAACCAGCCGGGAATCGTACGATTCTCGGCTGGTTAGAACGGTGCTCGGAAGACAAAGGCCGAGCGGGCCGGTGTGCGCACGCGCACACTGCCCGTTCAGCATTGCGGTCATCGGAAGCCCGCCCCTCAGGGGGGCGGGCTTGCGATGATCGAGAGTGCGATCTGCCTGTCCAAGATAGGCAGATTGTACGTTTTTTTAATCCCTGTACAACCATCGCAAGACTAAAGTCTTGCGATGGTTGTAGAGTGTATGGCCACCTTTCAGCCTTCTGACTAGAGAATATCTACCCCCCAAGTCATGATGGGATTAAAGGGCAGCCATACAGTCAGGGCCCATTACCACAACACCATAGATTACAATGTGCTGTGTTAAAAAGAAAATAAATTGGACATGCACGACAATGCATGCTATGCATGTTCTGGTATGTACAAGCTTAAAACATTTTACACAGCATTCAACTCCACACATCGGATTGCATTTCCTAACTGGGTCGCCTATGTAACTTACAGTACCTAATATGTAAATAAAAATATGGTTCATGTACCTACCCGTTCCTCACAGTCATCGTCTAGGGGCCGCACAGGGTTTTCCAGGGCTCGATTCAGCAAATCATGGATTTGTGTACTAAAAAAAGGCAAATAGTATATACAGTGAAAAGAATATTAAAATCAAACCATGTCGAAACTGACCCTTTAAAGCAGACCTTCCTTTAATATGACTTATTTTTTACTATCGCCCATGCTATATATAAAATTGCACGGAGTTTATTCCCGCAACATATGGAATCCTCAGGTTTCCCAGAAAGCAGTGTAACACATATAAGAATCTAAGAATCTACATATAAATCCAATTTTCCATACACTATACAGACATTTTGGATTGTTCTTTCATTACCATACATAAATCGTTATCAATAAGGGTTGTTACCAGGAAAGTTCTAATTCTGGATGAAACATTTCCTAGCACACGTTCATTACGATAAGTACGGTTTAATCCACCAGAGTACCACATAACAGGTACAAATTTGTTAGTTCAGATAAGAAATGAGAAAACATTTCCAACTTGGGCCGTCGATCCCTCTCCTTAATACAGTTGAAAATGATTGTTGATTTGTCCCCATTAGCTATCAGAAAACAAATGTTTTGAAAATGATCATTTTCCAACAAGATTCTAACTATCTATGGCTAGCTTAGGTGGCATACTAGTGGTGTGACTAATAGTACATGCAGAGGACCTCCTTTTCTATTCAATCCTAGTATCTTCCTCAACATGTTGCCTAGTACAGATCAGTAATGAACAAATACTAATGCTAGACACCCCAGTATACAGTATAATACACTATCAAATAAGAAGTCACAATAAAGAGTAGGAATATACATGTACTATATATTTTAGGGATGCACCGATACCGAGTATTTGGGTGAGTACTCGTCTAAATGCTCCCGATACCAGAGCTTCCTGATTGGACAGGAAGCCGGCTCCATGCTCCCTCGTTAACAGTGAGCATGGAAATGGCTTCCCGGCCAATCAGGAAGCCAGGGGAGCGGGTAATGACTTGCCCCCGGCTTCCTGATTGGCTGGGAAGCCAGATCCATGCTCCCTCATCATTTGGTGACGAGGAAGCATGGAGCCGGCTTCCTGATTGGTCGGGAATCTGGCCAATCAGGAAGCCTCCGGCTGTCATTACCCGCCCCCAGGCCTACTGATTGTGCAGAAAGCCGGCTCCATGCTTCCTCGTCACCTGGTGACGAGGAAGCATGAAGACAGCTAATCAGGAAGCTGGGCGGCGAGTCATTACATGCCGTCTGATGGTATTGGCGAGTACCAAAAGAAAAAAAATATCCGTACTCGATACTGATAAACCGGTATCAGTCCATCCCCGATATATACATACTGTATATATTTATTTTCAAATTTTATGTGCAATGATATGATCTACGTCACCTACATGAACCTACATAACATCCTTACTCATCTGCTATTCCTCCTCCAGAGCTGTCCAGGGATAGACTGTTCTCTTCCCATGTGTTCTTCTCAGGATTGGGCTTCTCGATTTTTCTCTCCATCAGCAGGATTGTCTTGTCTGTTACAGGATGCTGTCTGCCCTTATTCCTCTGCAAGCAGCTCTCAACAGAGCACTGTAGATACAACTGACAGAATCCCAGAGAATCTGAGAAGAAGAAGTGATGGTTAATACACAAGCAGAGCACAACATTCTCCGAATAGTATGTCCAGCTAAAATGTTTTCCTTTAGTTTAGGGTACTTCTGTCAGGTTCTCACTGCTATCCGGGGCTCCATTAGAGAGCTTTCCAGTCACTCAGTGTCACAGTGACAACATATTCATCAGACAGAAAGTGAGGAATCTCCAACAGGGAAGACCAGGACCCATGTTTTTATCTTTCCTGCCGCAGATTTTCCTTCACTTTCTGTCAGGTAAAAGCATTTTCATTGTGACAGTAAGTAAGGGAAAATCTCTCTACCAGAACCCCAAATTACAGTAAAATCCAAACAGAAGAACATCTAATCATTCCCCACTCTATTCAATATAAAAAGTTTGTGCTGGAGTCACTTGGTAATAGACCGAAGCCTTCCAAGAAAGGTAAGTAAAGGATGTGTGAACACAGCAGCCTCATTTATGAATCTGAATAAAGACGTTTATTGATCATATTCTCAATTCCCACTCTGATCCCCACCAATCCGAAACATGCAGCATTAAGGTGGAGCAGCTCTGAGGCCCAATCTCCTCTGTCCATAATGGAGACAACAGCTAAAAGTGTATTAACCTATGACCGCCCTTGTTTTAGAATGAGACCTTCTCTTCTACCCCACCAATCCACTATCGGATGGAGTAGCCTTGAGGCCTCATACAAGGAACAGCACCTAAAAGTGAATAAACCTAAGATCACCATTCTTTCAGACTGAGACCTTCTCTTCAACCCCTTCCCAGTCTCTGCAGAATTTAGACAGGGCAGCTCTGAGACCCCATCGCCTCTGTTCATTTCAGGGACAACAGCTGAAAGTGAATAAACCCAAGACCACCCTTGTTTTGGAATGAGGCCTTCTCTTCTACCCTAATTTCCACTCTAAACCCCACTAACCCACTGTCTGCAGAATTTACATAGAGCATCTCTAAGGGCCCCATCTCCTCTGTACATACCAGGGACAACAGCTAAAAGTGAATCAACCTAAGGCCACTCTACTTATGCAATGAGACCTCCTCATCTGCCTTAATTCCCATTCTAGACCTCACCAATCCAAAGTCTTCAGAGTTTAGCTGGAGTAGCTCTGAGGCACCATCTCCTCTGTCCATACCAGGGACAACAGCGGAAAGTAAACCTAAAACCACACCTTGTTTTGCACTGAGACATTTTCTTCTACCCGAATTCCCATTCTAAACACCACCAATCCCATCGGCAGAGTTTAGCTGGAGTAGCTCCGAGGTCCTATATACACTGTCCATACCAGAGAAAACAACTAAAAGTAAATAAATGCATGACCACCCTTGTTTCGGAATGAGACCTTCTCTTCTACCCTAATCCCCACCATTCCATGGTTTGGATAGAGCAGCTCTGAGGCCTCCAGACATCTGACCATACTGGGTGGACAAGTACGGAAAGCACACAAAGCTAAAACCACCCTTGTTCTCTGTGTGTATATGACGAAACTATAGAGAGGCTAAAAGAGTAGAGTGTGAGGACAGAATGTTCAATGTGGAAAGCCGGTAATGACTGGAGAGTACTTACACTTCCGTGCCAGCTGATACACCTCATACCGCATGCTCTGATAGTAGAAATTATCATCTAGAATGAAGTAGAAAGGGAAATGCGCCGGATTTAGAACACAACGCTGGAACTGCGCGTTTGAACTTGGGGCAGATATTAAACCTTGATGCGCCAGACATTGGCAGAACCTTTTCCACAAACTGTCAGGGACGCCACTGGGGGCTTGTAGAGGAGAGCAGCTGGACAAAGACACTAGAAGATGCTCCAGGCACTGCAGGAGATGCTGGCGATGCCGCTTCCACAGGGACTGCTACAAGACAGGGCACAAGACACATGACATGTATCACATATACAGAGCTGGACAGCCAACGCACTTAGAAAAAAGTTATAGCTTACATGTTGAGCATTTTTTTACTCTTTTTAAGAAAAGCAATTCAAGTGGCAGGGAGCCTTCGAGCTTATAGGCAAGTTCTCAGGGCAAAATTGTCATTAAACCTTGCAGTGGGACTACCCCGGTACTGCAAGGGTTAACTGTTCATTTTTGTCTGTTCTAAAATAAAAAAAGTTATACTCCCCTGTTCCTCAGAGCTGGCCAGCTCTTAGATCGGTCCTTCCAGCCTCACTTCCCCTTCTCTGTAGCAGTCTAAGGTCTCAGAGTCATCACGTTGCATACACAGTGTATGGGACGCGAGGGCGCCGAGGGACATACCAGCGCTCCAGCCAAGAAGGAGACAGGCAGGAGGGAGCGCTGTCACATCCAGATGCCTCAGAGGATCAGGGGAGTATAACCTTTTTTTTTTTTCTCTCCCTAGACTAAAATAAGCACTTAAAGGAGAACTATGAGATGAGTGATTTCCACTCACCTCATAGTTCTAGCCGACCTGTGACAATGAGACTGTAACAGGTCGGCTCAGTAGATGGGGAAGTGAGCGAACACATACCGGCGTTCGCTCACCTCTCGATCCTGTCACGGCTCTCTGCCGTGACAGGGGGAGGGGCTGGATTCCCCTCTCCCCGCTACGATCTGCCAGCGCTGACTGGCGGAACGGACGGGGGAGGGTACAGCTGGCTCTGCCTCTAGATAGGCAGAGCCAGCTGTCACGCAGCTGAGCGGATCCCGACGTCCAGGTCGGGATCCGCTCCGGCGTCTCAGTATACCGCGAGCTGTAGCTTGTGGTATACTGAGCTTAGGGTAACGGGAGGACGCTAGTTGGGGCCTCCCGTTACCCTAAGGAGAACTATGGGGAAAAACACTGACCCCATAGTTCTCATTTAATCCTTTTAGTGCGGGGGTAGCCCCACTGCGAGGGTTTATAAAAATTGTTCTTTAAGATTCCTGACATATTACACAGCTTAGTAGCCTCATCCTAATCCACAGCAACCAACCAAAAATCAGCTTTCATCAAGTTTGGCCATTTCAAGTCACTGAAAGTCACATTTTGCTTTGTTGAGATAGCTTTCTACACACTGACACTTTTTGCACTGTGACTTTAATGAGCCCATTAGTCCCAGCTTTCCTACAGCATGTACACGTGCCCCTGTTTTCACCTGAGCTTGCACTACTTTTCCAACCGCACCTTTTTTTGCAACAGTTTACATCTGCACTTGTTCTGGGCGGCCTGAAACTGGAGCATCACCTAAGAAAACAATCACAACTTGAGAAGTCCCCGTGACCACTTCTTCAAGAAGCGACAGTTAAGCTTTGTGCCTGAAGTTACAAGTCTTCTTTCCTGGAGTCTATTAAACCTCATTTATCAACAACATTACACTAGCTTCATAAATCTGGTGCAAATAAACTCCGTGCAAGTTCAAACACTCGCAATTGCTATGATAAATTCCCCCCCAGCAAGCACCGTGAAATTCCTTTTGATCTACCAGAAATCCAGCGTGCTCCTAACTTCCTGTGTGGGATGACAACATGGTGCCTCTGCTGCAAAGTCCCAAGAAACATTGTCAGCCCTGTCCAGCTATCCTCTGTTGGACTACAGAACT